TTAACCAAAAAATTAAATCAATCTCAAAGATCATATTGGTTGTAAGTTTATGAGTAATTTCTTTATAGTAAAGTTTATTTACTTGAATATATGATAGGGCCGGAGATAAGGCAGTTTTACGCGCGAACTCTACCTATTTATTTATCATTTTGTTATTTTTTTTCAATGATTAAATTTAAAAATAGAAGAATCAATTTACGAAGGACTATTCGGCTGCCCAATTCTAAAACACAGTAACTGCAAAATTTTTATACCTGATTTTTTTTTAGTATTGCTGCATTTTTTATAACTTTTAGACCTTAATTTCAAGTATTTTTTCTTAAAAATATTACATTCAAGTATTTTCTATTCATAAATCAAATTTTTCATCAATTTGGCGGGTAAACTTTTTTTTAATACGAAAAATTGGAAAAAATTTTGAAATGTTAGTTACTGTGCTTTGAAATTGGGCAGCCGTATTATTAACATACTCTTGCCAAGTTTAATGATTTTTTGTTCAAAAATTACTTGGTCAAAAATCGTCTCAGTATTTTGTCCAAAATTTGAATATTCTCTGTCCTACATGTTCTTAAGAATTTTTCTACTTAAGGATGTTCCTAGACAATAAAAAGACACTAATATGTTATGGCTATTTATATGTTACTCACGTAAAATATCGAAAGTCACTAACTTCAAAGATTTTTTATAAAAAAATTAATAACGCTCGTTTATGTTATTTTAGATAAAAAATACTTGTTATATCTTCAATTAATGATTCTCAGTTTTTTAAAACAATCCTAAAAAAAGTACAATTGATATTTAATAAAACGTTCGCTTGAACGTCGGTCAGCATAGAGTTTGTATGTAAAATATACAAATTTTAAATGGTAATATTTCAAAATTTAGTGCCGCAAGGATTATTTAAAAAAATTCCTGCGTATAGAGAATACTTATGAGTATAAGTACTCAAAATTTCAAAAAAAATTTTAAGAAAACGATTTTTTCTCGGAACTTCCTTAATTCAAGAAGATGAAATTCTTCAAAATTATTTACTTGATTAAACCAAATTTTTTTTTTGTCCAGTAACATAAAAAAATTAGTATAAAAATGAGTGAATAAGCGTTTAATCTTGATAATCAATCATTTTACGTGATGTCAGAATTCCATTAGTTAACAACAGAAAGTGCTATTATCGGAGAATACTCTACTGGAGATAATTACATCGTAACAGAGGATGAAACATACAGACAGGAGCATTAATAGCATAACGTAAACTCGCACAAAGTCTTAAGCAGCAGCATCATCATATTATATACTCTCCTACACCCTATACTACTGCCGCCACTCTACTATACCTGGTAGTTAGTAGTTTTACTTTTACTTACATTAATCGAATTCTTTGCCCAGTCGACGTGTACCCTCATTTAAGTTTTCACTTTTTTAAAACTCGTAAGCTTTTTGTTCACTTAAACTATTCATAAGCTCATAAAAGTACTAATGTATAAAGTTGTCATTTTTTTTTTAATTCTACGCTGTAGGAATTAAAAAAATTTATGAAAATAAAAACTTTTTTAATTTAAATCCTACTATACCGCCTGACTAAAATTCGTGTACTTGTTTAAATTCTCAATTGTTTTTCGGTTATTATTATTATTATTATTTTAAATATTTTGAATTATTAAAAAATTGTTTATTATTTGAATAATTGTATTCAGAACTGAAGGTTGTTATTTTAATGTAAAGATACATGATATATCAGGAAGTAAAATTTTAAAAAGTAGGTCATGTCGACAGTCGTCATTTGGATATGTATATAAATTATATTCTGATATTGGTTCGTTTTATTTTTTGCATAAACTTTATTAATTCATTTTATTGCAAAAATGTTTAAAATTTTATTTTTTAATAATCCAAAAATCAATATTTAAAATTTTTTTCAATGATTCACTACTTATGATATAAAAATTTATTAAATTCATCGCTTATTATTTTTATTATTATTATAAATTTAAAAAAACACTTTATTTGTCACATAGAGAGTTAAAAAAAAGTTTTAGAGTAAGAAAAAAGAAATTTGAGTGACGGTTACAGTAACTTTGCTATTTCATTTCACCACAAAAATAAAAAAAGTAAGTGTACTTGTGTGAAAGCTTGAGATGTCGAGCTTTCATTCTCTTTGTTATTTTTGTTTCTTTTTCTATTCTTTGCTCCTGCATTGAGTGAAAATTTATTTAAAATGTTGGTTTGACATATTGATATAAAGTCCAAAGTCACTTTTATACCGTATAAAAACTAAAATATCTTAAATTTTTTAGTTATTATAAAAAATAACATTATTAAATTTAATAATGGCTTTAAAGATAGAAAAAAAAAAGAGTAAAAGTGCATCTTATTTTTTATTGAAAAAAATATTTCAATTTATATTTTATCGACGACAATAAATAATAAACGACGAATTGAATATAAAAGAAAAGCACTCGTCGGTTCCAGTTACTCGGAATAGCTCAACGGTAAATCGACTAAATTAAAAATTTTATCAATATTTATTCAACTCTTTAAAGCTTTTGTCTAAATAAATGAAAATATAAACCAATTATTTTTTTTTAAATATATTATATAGTTTTATTATATAAAATCAATCTAGTCTCTCCATCCAAAAAAATTTAAAAGTTTTAATAAAAAAATAAAAACTTAAACTACAGTTATTTTTAAAAATTAATATAATTTATCCATAATTAATAATTATTGATTAAATTTCACTGGCGTAGAATCATGTCTATATTTTAATGTCAATTAGAATAAAATAATATTATGTGAAAGAGAATTAAATTTTTACAATGAAAAGTAGAAAAAATAAAAATATGTATTATTGAATATTATCTTCTATCTAGTGCTTCCAGTCACGATTATTATTATTATTCGAGACTTGACTATTAGAATAAGTAAGACGCTTCTGTGGATTTATATTTCATTCTGAATTACAAACGCGTTCGTGATTTATTTCTTCACTCTCATTTCTTTTATCTATTGTCGAGCTAAATCCTTTGGTGCATCTTCCTGCTAGCGACATCCAATTTTTGCATCCGTCAATGATTCCAGGATCAATACTTAAACATTTATGGATTTATGTCCTTAAAATTTTATTTTTTTTTACTAAGTGATTTATCACTACCGATAATAATAATAATAATAATAATAATAATAATAATAATAATAAATTAATATTTCAATAAATTTGTAAAATTACAAAAGCTTTAAGAGTTTATTACTTTGAAATCAAAATAATTAAAATAAAATTAGGATTTAATAATTATAATTAATAGCTATAATAATAAAAAGAATCATTAAAAGTTAATTTTACTAATTTAACACAATATTGTCTCTATTTATTTATTTAATAAAAATAAATTTATTATCTGACATTAAATAATTAAATTTCAATTAATTTACACCGAAAAAAAAATTAACAAGATTTAATTAACAAGTGTAAAATTTTTAAAACAAGAATAATTTCTCAATTCACGAATTTTTTTTCTTAAATTAAGTTAATTTTTTTTTTTTTAGTGTGTTATATAAATTTTTAACCGATAAATTGTTCGTGGTTTTTAAAAGTAATGACAAGAAAAATATATAGAGTTAAATACATAATATATAATATAGAGTAGGCGTAAACTGACAAGACGAGACTACGAGAAATATAGACTGCATTTTCCTGCTGTCACGTTTAACGGCATTGAACGGGAACTTTGAAACATGACACGAGTAAAAGGGTCGTTGCTCTGAGATGAATATCGTAAAAATAAAAAAACAAATTTATTTCTTCAATCGAGATTTAAATATAAATTGATATTATATGATTACCAACAAGACATGCATGTCGTTGTTGATTATTGGTAGAATACCTGACCATACTTATCCTAATTATAAATTATTTTAAATTAAAAAGACTTGACTTTATACCCAAAGACTTAAAAAATAGATTAATTGATACTTGCTGCGACAATTTAGTTCCTTTATCTGATATTTTAATTTATGAGAAACCATCCCCCAGTATTTCGAATCTGAGCGCCGAATAAATAAAATAGCCTCTTTATATTTAAAAAGTTGTGTTTAGGTATTATATAGACGCCGCTAAAATATAAATTATTGTCATTACTGTTAATATTTTTTAGCGCGATGCTTTTCTACCGTTTGACAACCGTTGCCTGGACAAGCTGTTTGATGGACATCTGTGTCGTTGAGCCTGTTTATGTTTTTCGATTATTATACTATTAAATCGACTGTTTTAATTGATATTTAAATATGTTGATAATTATTTATATGCGTAGAAATAACGCTAGAGCATCGTATAGTGGTTTATTTTTTTTTTATAAATATATATATGTATACATCAAAATTCTAATCAATAAAAAAAATTTTTTTTAATCTTTAAATGTCAAAGAATTATTTAATAAAAAAATTTAGAGACAATTCGCTAATTAAATCGATGTATACATATATTTGAATGCAAATGTATCAACCTTTATAAGATTATAAGATTAACCTTTATAAATTTATATTGTTTTCATTTAATTATATTTTTTCGCTCCAGAAGATTTTATTCTAAATTTACATTTTATTTTATTAATTTTAGCATGACATTATAAAAAAATAATTATTTTTATACAATAATAAATTTTTAATTTATAATTTTTTTACTAAAATAAATTAATAAAAAAAAAAATGATAAATATAAAGGTTGAAATATTTAAAAAATAAATTAAGTGTGTTATTAGTTAAGTGTTTTCAATAGCTGGCATTATGACATCGCACTCGCAACGAAGACGCAGATCTTCAGCATCGTACGCATCAAGCTGTTATAATAATAATATGAATAATAATAATAATAATAATAATAATAATATTAATAAAAATAATGAAAATTAATTATAACAGTTGACTATTGTAATAAATATTATATGTTTATTTATAATAAATAAAAAAAAATTATTTATATTAATAATTATTTATTTAAAACGCAGGTTGATTTGAGGCATATGGACGAGCAAACTGGGAGTAATATCGTCGATGTTGGCGTTGATTTATCCGAATTCTATATGTCTGTTGAATGGGACATTCTCGAAGTGCCAGCAGTGAGGTAACAAAAATATTATTTTTTTTTTCCAAATAGTTTAACTGAGAAAGAATTTTAATTAGTAAAAAAAATTTAATATTGATAGACTGAAATTAAATTTAGAGAATTTAATAGTTTTATTATTTTGTTGATTGAATAAAAAAGAAAAAAAAAAGGATAAATTATTTTACTTGTTCCAGAAATGAAAAATTTTATACGTGCTGCGATGAACCGTACCTTGATATTACGTTTAATATAACACTAAGAAGAAAAACTTTGTTTTACACCGTCAACATAATTATACCGTGCATGGGAATTTCATTTCTTACCGTACTTACATTCTATTTGCCGAGCGACAGTGGTGAGAAAGTGAGTAATAAATAACACTTAATTTATTTATGTTGATCCTTAATAATAAATAATAGTTAAAAGTTTGAGAGTAAGTTAATTTTGTTGTACATATTAAGTAACCCACGCCTTTAGGACTCTATCAGGACTATCATCGTTACCCTTTATGAGCTCACATTCCTCAACTGTTGAGATAAATTCCACTCTATTCACCGGCTTTCCAAATAAATTCGTCTCAACTCTTTAATTTAATATTTTAACATACAACAAATTACAATAAATATTTATACTGTTTAAAACTATTAAAACTATTTTTAATATAATCAATATAACTTTGGATATTAAATATATTTTCAATTATACTTGCTGTAAGTTACTGTGCGGAAAGGGAATTATTGTAGTTATAGTCAGACACGGTCTACCGTCTTTCATCTTGTTATAGTTCTACTAAAACTTATTATTATGTTTGATAAATCTCGTTCTATTATCAATTACAATATTTTAACCTGACAAAATAAAGATCATTTATTATTACGATATTGCGTTACAGATCCCATAAGGGCGTATAAATTTTTTGAGTACCCACATCAATTTTTCATATATTTATATATATTATATATATGTATATATGAAAAATATATAAAAATGCATGTGGGTACTCAAATGAAAGCTCTTGATGAGTGTAACATCGGGATGAGCTTATATTTTTAAAAAAGTCAATAGTTAAAAAAGTACAGTGCAATTTCACAAAAGTCATTATTTAATAAAGCAAAATTTTATTTAATTATTGTTCACAAGTCACGGCAGTCACATAGTGACTGCAAGGTTGTTAGTAAACTGATTAACTGTTTGGCTTTAAAATCTTATAGAAGATATAAAAACAACCCGATTGGTAAATAATAATTATTAGAAATAAATTTATCAAGAGTTTTAAATCCTAACACATCCTGGCACCCAGTGGCTCAGCACACTTGTAAATGTAATCGATAATATTGAACTTGGAGATTATTAAAAATTTATATTGATTAAAAATCTTTAATCATCGCTCTTATTGATTAACATTTTTCAGTTGAAATAATAACCAACGCGCATTGTTAAGCATTTTTCTCTTCAATTATGCTTTTATAATTTATGCACATTTTTTTTTCCATTTCATAATGTAAGCTATTCAGTACGACTATAATAATTTAAAAATACTCAGATGTACTATTCATGCAAGCCGCTCTTTTTTTTTTTTTTTTTCTAGCTGTGAAACAACATGGTGGTGTACAACTACCGAGTGTTTCCAGGCTTTACATTAATAAAGGGAGGTCGAGTGTCTCGGAGTTTTTCCAATGAACCACTGAACCCCCTCCCGCACCCGAGTAAAACGTTTATTTTTACTTTTGTTCGTAATTATTATTTTTATAGTAAAATTAATCATTCAGTCAATTTGTAGAGCCATCGACAAGTTTATTAAAATTTTAAATTCTAGGTTTATTGTTGAACTTTTATTTGAGAAAAACAAAATAATAGATAAAAGATTACATTCTCTAGTGTACCATCTATCTTTGAAGACGTGACTGAATCTGAAATAAAATTATTTGGAGAAAGTTTAACTTACGGAAGACATTTCCGAGGAAATCCGATAAATCTTCAATTAAAATTTTAGTGGTGATTAATAATTATAACATTATTCATTATCTGTGAGTTATGGAAAGAAAAGTGAAAGAATTAAATTCATAACTAGGATTTATTAGAGTTTTAAATACCAGCCAAGTTTCTCTAGTGTGAAATTGTAAAAATTACATTATTTCTGATATATACCAACTATTACAGTTTCACTTAACATCTTTTTTAGTTTATAATAGTAAAAGGTTTAAACCTTTAAATTTTCTTTTCACATTTACACAGAAAAGAGAAAAAGAGAAAAATTACGGTATAAATAGTAATAAGCGTCGCTTTGCATAAAAAACTAGAAAATTTTCAGTTCGAAATGACATTTTTATAAATTCAAATTTTGAATATTAATTTCCGGAGCTTTCAATGTATTATTTACATTTTACAATGTAATTCTTACAAAATCTGTATAATAATTACAATCTGAAACTGTAATGTTTTCAGTTTTTTATATGAAGCGCCACGTTACATGATATAATGTAATTTTTCTCTTTTTCTTTTTTCCGTAAAATATCTCACACTGTAATTTTTTGTATAAATTTGGATTTCGACAACTGAGCTTGAGAGTTTGAGAATTACAGGTTTAGCTGTTATAATTCACAGTATATTTATTATTATCGATAATTAGTAGCTCACACTTTAAATCTTATTTTTCCAATTAAAAATACATTTATTTTGATAAAACTAAAAAATTCATCACCGATAAATCGAAATTTTGAAAGTTTCAGTTATTAACTATTAATCTCTCAATAAATAACTTGAAAAATAATAAATAACTTCTAGTTTAAACTTTCATGCAACTAAAAATACATTCGAAGTTGTAAAACTCTGTATTTCCAATTGTGATTGCACTATTACAAGATATAGTCTCAATTATTACAGTATCAAATTTAATACTTGCAGTTTTTTCTACTAGGGATCGATCCCAATCATGTACACAATCAGCAAAACATGGTACAGCGTGTAATAAGAACTGGACAGGATATGAGCGCTAGTGTGAGAATGATGAACGCTCAAACGATTCCGCGGCCAGGTTTGATGCAAACGACTGTCAATGACAACACTGGTACATCGTCTGAGGCATCGGAAATTCCTGATAACGTCACTGCAGAACTGGAAAAACTCGAACAAGAAGGAGCTCCTATGGTAGAGGTCGAGGGCGTTGGTGCAATATTAGGGGACTTGGCTGATGATGATGATGAGCTTTTAGGTAAACTTTATTTTTTATAATTATTTTAAATCAGGATTTTAAAATAGACTATGAAAGGAGTAGTAGTTGAACAATCAATTCTGACAAGCCGCAGTAGTTTAGCACTCTGGGAGCAGTAGTTGAACGAATAAAATATATGACAATAGGCACAGCAAAAATTTTCAACGTTTTATTGAAATATCAAAGGAAATATAATATATTATTGAATAATATTAAAAATAATACTGTGAATATTTAATATGTTCATTTGAAAATGAAAAATATTTGTATTTAATTTTTTAATTACATTTTTTATGAATGACAAAGCAAATTGATCTTTTAAATATATTTTATAAAATTAATAATAATAATAATTTTTCAACAGCTGAAATGGGAGCAGATTTTAATATTCTCGAGTATGCAGATCCCGAATTGGGTAATATAACAGGTGGAGAAAAAACAAATATTCTTGATATGGATTTAGAGCAAGTTGAAGTTGAGACTAAGGAAGAAAAACAGAAGAAAGAAAAAGAGGAAGAACAAAAATCTGAAGTTTTAGCAGTAAATGCAACAGCACATTCAGATATTGCTAACGAATCATCTAATTCAGGCGTATCGACACCCGTTGAACCGACGATGGTTCCCAATGTCGCTCCTGCTGCTACAGCAGCGACTATGCCGATTTCTGCGGCATCCCAGCCTCAAGGTTCGATCATCCAGCAACAGCAGCAGCAATCCGGAACAATAATAGCGCCAAATCATGCGCAAGCGATGGCTGTTCAACAACAGATGCATCAACAAGTTCAACAAGCCGCTGCTATGGGTCGTCCTATGCCTCCGGGAACACGGTTACTATCTGCCGAAGGTGTCATTGGAGTTGTTACGTCAAGTAATACTGTTACGATAAGCTATCCATCTACTTTTCCCGGGCATCCTCAACGAATTCTTCAATCACATATGCAACGTAATTATTTTTTATTATTTTTATCAATTTTTTTTTTAAAACATACATCTAAAATTTTTATTTTATTTTTTAGTCCAACAGCAACAGTCTCAGCAGCCACAACAGCAACAACCTCAACAGCAACAACAGCAACCACAACAACAACAACAACAACAACCGCAACAACAATCACCTCAACAGCAGCAACAGCAGATGCAGCAGCAACAACAGCAATCACAACAGCAGCAACAGCAGCCACAACCTCAACAGCAACCACAAAGATTAGGAATGAGAGTTGCTGGAGTTCAAGGCATACCCGGGCGAGTTGTTTCCGTAGGACACATGATTGGTCCTCGTATGCCCTTGGCACCGCCACCGCCACCTCCACCGCCGTATCCTGGACCACCGCCTCCTTATCCAGGGCCTGTACAGGTTAGTAATCATTTTAATAAATAAGAAAAAATATTTTTACCCTTGAAATTGATACTACTTACACGAAAAGAACAAGATGACGCTGGATATCATCCCAGATTATACTCAGTGATATCTGTGGTGAAAAAAACTTTCAGATAGTAGCTAAAAAAAGTTTGGGAAATCCAAAAGTGCACGACTAATAATGCTCATTTAATTATGAAATATTAATAAAATAAAAAATGTGAAAAAAGATGTTATTAACACTGGCCTAGTTGTTTGACACTTGCAATTTTATTCTAATTAAAAAAATTAAATATCCTCAAAAACCCAATTTTCTTAAAGTTTATAATTCAAAGCGTGATATCTGGTTTATATTCATTGTAATCTGAATTATACTAGCTACTATCTGAATTTTATTTTCACTCAATATAATCTGGGATGATATCCAGTGTCATCTTATTGTTGCCGTGTATTAACTTGATTTTATATTATAACTCATGTATCAAATTCATGGAAATTTAATTCGCGATAACACAAAATAATAAGACAATTTTTCAATTAATTTAATTACATTAAAATAGTTGTTATAATAATAAACAATAGTTGGTTCATATCCATAATTATAACAGTAATTAATTTACAAAAATTTTGATGTATTTTTTTTTCACGGCAAATTGTTCAATTCAATAAAACAAATTAAAATATTCAATTGTGAATTATATTACTGTTGTAATAAAAATTTTCTGGTGTTGGTATGAGTTTAACAGAATTTATTAATGAAAAAGCATGTGATATTTTATTTTCTTATTAATTAATTAAATTTATTAAATATCTCATAAATAATATTTTAAAAATAAAATCAGCCAAAAGATTATATTAGGGCGAATTTTAAATAATAATAATAATAAGATTGTTAATTTATTTTTTAAAATATACTGTTATTATCATTATTATTGTTATTGCAAAAGTAATGGCTGGTAAAATATAAAATGGTGTTTTGGCCTGGGTGTGTTGCAATTGCATTGGTGTTGGTGCATGTTTAGATGGGGCTGTGCCCAGGTGGACGGGGTGTTATGCCGCCGCGAGCCCCAGTTCATATTGGGCACCAAGTGCCTGGTGTTGTTCCGGGTCCACCGATGGCCCCAATTGTTCACACGGGTGCAACTCCTCCTTCAATAACGCCGCATCCACATCGAAGACCCTTGCTTCTCCAGGTGAGCAAGTCTTGGGGCACTTAAATTTTAAACAAATCTAATAACCATCGATCATTCCTCTATTTTCATTTATTTTTCTGTATTTATTTATAAAAATAAAATTATATATTATCATTAATTCATGTACTGACATTATATCATTTATTATAAGTAAAAAAAAAAAGTTTTTATTCTAAACTTAAATATAAAAGCGTTAGATTCTGGCTGCAGCAAAAAATGTGTGCATGATGTGTTAAATTTTGAAGTTAAATGTGTGTTAAAATTTTAAAAATGAATAAGAAATTTTTTTTTTCTTAAAATAAAAATTAGTTATTTAGGTTTAACTGACTTTAACTGTCAGCAGTCGTGTTCACAGGAGCAACCGTTGCTGTTGGAGGATCTATTGGAGCAGGAAAAGCGGGAACAAGAAAAACAACAGCAGCAACAACAACAGCAACAGCAACAAGCCCAGCAGCAAGTTGACAGCACACCAACAACAGGTGCATTGTTGAGTGATAGTGAATTTGAAAGACTAAGAGCTGATGTTTTGGCGTCTTCTGCTCTGGGTTCGCCGCCTCAAGGAATTGTTGTCAGTGGCTCAGCAACCAGTGGTCCTATTATCAGACCACCAGGTAAGCCGAGACCGCCATCAACGCCTGGTACTCCTTGGCCACAAGCTACTGACTCTGGTAAAATTATACAACCTAGACAACCAATTGCAACTCAAACACCTCCTGAAGGTTTGTTATTTTTATTTTTATTATTTTATATTAAAAATTATATTAAGGTGATCACTGGAAAAATAGCATAAAATATAAAATTATTTTTATCATTCTCGTTATTTCTAATCAGAATTAAATTATCTAAATTCAATTCATAATTATGGTTAAATAATTAAGTAAATGAAAACTATGTGGTAAATCGTTATAAAATTTTGATAAAATATCTATGAAACATCGTTCTATCTATTGAAAATTTTAATTAATTATATCTCTTAAACAATGTTTTTAAAAAATCTGATTCTTTTCTATAGATGTATTTTATCATAATCTTTCGAATAAATATAAAAAAAATATGCTATTAAACTACATTTTAATCAGTAATAATAATAATTTTTACATACTTACTAATATTTAGTATCAAAATAAAAATAATTGCAATAATAAAAATAATTTTGATTACAGCAAGAGTAGCGACGTTTAATATACCTCAATTGCCAGCACCACCAGCTCCACCAGAAGTAATATCAAGTGAACAAGATCGTCAGGTACAACTTCAGTATGAACTTTGGCTTCATAATCAGCAACAAATTTTACTGCAGCAACAAAAATACTATGAAACTGAAGTACAAAAATTACGGAAGTCTCGTAAAGCATTAAACAGCAGACAACGACAATTGCGTAAATCCGGTAATGAGTTGACGGAAATTGATGCAGCTGAGCTGCAGCGAATTTCCAGTGAACAGTCGATCTTACAAAAACAGCTGGATGCAAGTAGAAAACAAGTTCGTCAACATGGTATGTTAGCGCAAGAGTACAAAAGTAAACAACAGCAAAGACAAACTCAACCTCAGACAAGTGAACCGTGTTCACCATTGATGTCACCGTCCCAGCACTCTTCTCCGATGCACAGTCCAGCTGGTCTAGTTTCTCACAGTCCTGGACCCGGCAGCGTACCCAGTATGATTCAACATTCACCGGTTACCATAATTCAACACAGTCCAAACCCACCGCTATTACAGCACAGCCCTGGTACTCAACAGCAGCAAAATCCAGGAACAATATCTCCTCATAATATGCAGCAATCACCTCGGATAGGAACTCCACATTCGCAAAATGAAGAGAGTCCTTTCAGTCCTGGTGCAATGCCTTCTCCAGGTTTGTGTGGTCCAACACCTCGCATGACTTCTCCTCAACATCGTGCTGTGATAAGTGGACGGCTTACCACTAGTCCCGGAGCTTTTCCACAAGAAGTCCGACAAAATCAACAAATTATCAACGAGCAGGGAATAAGATTGCAAAATACACATCAAAGATTTGTCAGACCTTCGGCAGTAAGTGATATTGGGCAACGACCGCGTATGCAAATGCAGGGAGGTATTATTTATAACCAACGCTCACCTTTGGGAAGTCCTCAGCCAACGCAACAGCCAATGTTGACTCAACACCAACACCAACAAATGTTGCAACGACAACAGATGATTCAACAACAGCATGAAGTAGGTACTATTAATCAGGAGGCTCAGAACACTCTCAATCAACGTAACTTGCAACTTGCACAGCGCCAACAAATTTTGCAGCAACAGCAGCAATTAGCTCAGCAACAACAACAACAGCAGCAGCAACAACAACAGAGGCAACAATTTTTGCAAATGCAACAACAACAACAACAACAACAGCAGCAGCAGCAGCAGCAGCAGCAGCAACAGCAGCAGCAGACCCAACAACAGCAAATTCAACAACAACAGCAGCAACAACAAAATCAATTAATGCAAAAACCCCCGAGTTCTCCGATGATGTCTCAACCAGCAAATTCACCTAGTCCTCAACTTCACCAACAAATTCAACAAAATTACGGACAGCCTCCAAGTTCACCTATGCCTCGTAGCCCAATGATTCCACAAACAATGGGCTCACCAATGTTGCAACAGCAATTGAGTCAAAATTCTCAGCCTCCTAGTCCTATGGGGTCAAGAATTCATCCACAGCCACCTTCACCGATGGTCTCACAGTACCAGCCACCTAGTCCAATGGCCAGAAGTCATCCGTCAACTTCACCCATGCTTCAACACCAGCTCAATAATCAGCATCATCCTCCACCACCGCCACAAACTCCAAGCTCACCGATGCCACGAAGTCCTATGGTACCATCACCGATGCAAATGCAGCGACGACAGTCCAGTGGCAACAGTCCCGCTATGCCCGATCGTCCTCAGAGCGTAGAAAATCCTGGAACTCCTCGCACTCCACATACTTACACTTACAATGTACAAAATTCAGGACATGTTAATAATGATCAACAGCAGCAGCAGCAGCAGCAGCAGCAGCAGCAGCAAATGCAACAAATAAATCAAGAGCAATCTAATCAATCAGATTTAAATCAAAATCAAAACCGCGGAGGAGGAAATCCACATCATCCTTTAACTCCAATTCCCATAAAATCTATTTTTGGACGGTATGGATATTTTAAACCTGGTTTAAGAGGAGGCTCGCCTATGTGGTCGACAAAGCCCGAGTGTAGTAAAGGAAAAACAGTCGAGCCAAGGATTACAGCAGCGACCTCCAATTTAAATGAAGACAAACCAAATACTTCTAGCGTAGTTCATAGAAAAACAGGAATATCTCAGTCGAAAATAAATAGTCTAGTGCATGCTGATTATAATGATTTTGACGATGACTCTCACACTCCGCCACAAACTCCCCCAACAACAGAAACTAAAACAAACACGACTTCAAGTCTGGCTGTTGAAAAATCAGTATCATCTTCTCTTGCTATCGGAAGTCCAGATAAATTAGAAACTATGCCGGATACTACCGATTACGATGATGATAAAACAATTGTCAATGAAGAGGTTACTCTAAGCTCCACAGCTCAGAGAGACAGTGATGATACTGTTATCGAAGAACTGGTTGACGTTTCACTGGGTCCGGTTGATCCGGACGAAATGCAAGAGTCTTTTTTTCTATTCGAGCCTGTAGATCTTTCGAATGATAGCAATGACATTCTGAGCCATGCTTTGGTGAATAACACCAATCAAAACCATGAGCTCGTTCAGATTCTCCAAATAGACCCTTCTCAAAATGACGATTCCATTCTCAGCGATGATGAGCTCGTACCTTCGAACAGGAACAAAAAAACCCTGCGTTTGGATATTATGCGCACTTTGCAGACCGGGAAGAGACTCGTTACCGTCACTGATACTCCCGAATCTCCGGATCAGGAAGACATGGCTGTCGATCCTTCGCCTGTCACTTCGCCTTTTATAGACAATCCTGATGATATAATGACTCTTGGAGAAATTAGTGCTTCTGAAGTTGTGATAATAGATCCTACCATTAAATCTCCTGAAGATCATTTGAACAAAGAGTGTGAGGAAGAGGCTGAAAAAATTGACAGTACTTTTGAAGTCTTGCAACAACCAGAGCAACCCAATAAATCTGAGACTAATTCTGATAATTTAAATGAAAAGAAATCTTTTGATTTGACGGAAAAAATGTCATCTGTTTCTGTTTCTAATTCTGTTTCTGATCCGATTAATGACAAGGATCAAGTCGATGCTGGTGAAAAAACAAAAATAGAAAATTCTTCGGCTTCAGATGTGATACTTGAAAGTAATACTGTTTGTAAAACTACCGAAACTATATCTAAATTAGTTACAACAACAATAACAACAATGACAACATCAATTACGACAATAGCAGCAACAAGTACTACTAATTCGGTAACCACTGTTGCTAGCACAAAACAAGTTATTAATTTGAGTGATAATCAAAACCAAGTATTGCCTTCTGTGATTAGTAATGTTGCTGATATTAAAGTAACGAGTGAATCAAATAGCCAATCTTTAGAAATTTCTAATTCTAGTACGAGTCCCATTATTACAAATACTTTAACTAGTTGTAGTAGTGGTAATACTAATACTAATACTAATACTAATTTAAAGACCAAAATAAATTCTATTGATACTGTTGAGCCTGATTCAGTGGCGTCGAAAATTTTGGCACAACTTACTGATAATAAAGACCGGTCAGAAATATGTTTCAGTGTCGCCAATGAAAATGTATCTCTTTTTCCAGTTTCTATTGAAAATGAGGTTAGTTCTAAATTGACTGTTGTCCCATCAACTGCTGTTACATTAATGAAAACAAAATCCAGTGAAGCTCCGAAAAATAATTTAATTAAAAGTAAAGTTGAAGATAAAAAAATGGTTAATATTAGTGAAAAGTCTAAAGAAAAAAATGATAATTTATTGAATTCTGTGAGTAATAGCAATAGTAATGAATCATTGTTGTCATATTCGTCTTCTTCGCCTGTAGAAGCTACAACAGAAGAAAAAAAAAGTGATCCTCTTAATACGACAGATGAATTGGAGAGCATGTTGGAAGCAATTCATAATCCTGATGAAAATACCAGTGATAGTAAAAAAATAATTTGTGATAATAAACCAGATATTTCATCGTTCAAACGAATGTCACCAGTTGCTGATGAAATGTCTCTGGTAAATATTCTAGAAAATGATTCCGAGTTGGTTATTAATGAACGCAAGGAAAATAAATTTCAAGATACAGATCAGGCTAAAGAACCGAGTGTTTTGCATGAAAAAATTTCTGTTGATAAATTCACGGACAATAACGAAGTTGAAGAATCTTCAGACGTTATTTTAGATATGCTTCATAATATAATATCATCTAAACCGGAAATGGCGAATACAAATATTTTGGAAGATCAACGCAAGTCCACGAGCATGATTTATCAAATGCCAATGCCGTTGGACACATTGCCGTACAATATTTTGCAAGACTCACTGATGGATTTTGATCAACCGATCCAAGACGAACAGGAGCCAGAAGAAAAGACTAAACAACCACCCAAGTCTCTAGATGTTCCAGTTACTAAAACAACTCCAACTCCACTGGTAACTTCAGCTTCAATTCCAACTACAGTTTCAACTCAAATTTCTGCTCCAATTCAATCAACTGTAAACACTATGAACACTTTACAAAAACCAGCAGCAGCAACAACAACAACAACAACAACAACAACAACAACAGCAACAACGACAACAGCAGCAACAGTAGTAACAACAGCACCAACAATAGCAATAACAACAGCAATAGCAATAACAACAACACCAGCAGCATCAACAACAGCTGTACCTCACTTGTCTCCGCTGTCCAAACCTACGGAATTGACGTCGAACATGGCGACAGCATCTCACCAACTTCGTTCCTTGTTGTCTTCTATTCAAACCAACCATTCATCACAAAATTACACGACAGCTCAAGCTGCTATCGTGACAATGGTGTCTTCAGCGATGTCAAATAGTAAATTGGGAGTCTCTTCTCCATCTACTGTTTCAAACTCTCTTAATCCTCAAACAAGCTTGAGTTTTCGACTCCAAACTGTGACAAGTCCAGCGTCTATGAGCGTTAAATCATCAGCAGACACCACAACAACATTTGCTCTTCAACTTAAAGACAACAGTGTTTTATCTTTGGGAAAAACTACGGCTTCGGAATTTACAAAGATATTAACAAATACAATTCAATCTCAATCGATTAATTTACCGGTAGTTACAACAGTACGGTCAACTAATTCCGGAATATCAATAACATCAAACGCGATGTTGAATGCAATGTTATCAGTAACTCCGACAGTGAAACCTTCAATAGCTGGTCATCGTGCTAATACTATCCTGACGCAAACGAGTAATTTATTGAGCTCTGTGTTACCGACTCCGTCGGTTCAACGTAACCAGAATCTTCAAGCTATTTTACAGGTAAGCTCGTCTCCGTCGCGAGTTAACACTGTGGCTTCTACAACTACTACCAAAACTACTCCATTGACAAGTTCTGCGACGATAAATGTCACCACTTCAATTCTCCAGTCAACGTTGTCTCAGACGACGTTATTGCACTCACAGTTAACATCAGGATCGTCGAATTTATACAAATCAACAGAAATTCTACCGATTGATAAAACCAACGAGGAAAATGTTCCCACGTCAACGGCCAAAGATGATGAGATTAAGACTCATGATTCTGAAATGCCCAAGCAAAATCATCGAATTGAAGATTCAAATGTATTGTTGAAACAATTGCTACAAAATACCAGGTGTGCTACCACCAGTTTGGTGGCTAATACCTCTTCAACGACAACCATACCAACTGCTCCATCTTTAGAAGCACAATTAGCTCGGCCTGTAGTTTCAACAGTGTCATCTGCTTTGCTACCACAGCTAGTACATAAAACTCCAACAGTAAAACCGATTACCAAACAATTGTTGACACGTGAAACGTCGTTTGTGTCCCAGCAAACGACTTTGCCTCAAAAGACCCCGAGCCCGCCGATAAAAGAAGATCCACCTACTCCAAGAGTGACCACTCCAACGGCTGTACAGTCGTTGTCTCCAAGAGGAACTGTTGATACTAAACATATTCAATTAAATACTTTGGGAAAATTGACTCCTAGCTTATCAAGCGCTGTCACTCTAACATCTTCAACTGTAACGGCAGCGATTCCCGTAAAACCGAGTCAGATTAAACTAGAGCCTGGATTGATCACCCACCAGGAAATTACGAGTCAATCTTCTCCGTTAAAACCCTCCTCTATGAGCGAGTCATCGTCATCTTCGTCGTCTTCACAGTCATCATCCTCGTCGGTGATTACCGGTCAAAATCAGTCTCAGATACGTATTACGCAAGTACCGACGTCTTTTACAAAACTTGTTTCGACTTTAAGCAAGCCAGCAATGACAATAGCAGCTCCTCTGAAGACAGTTCAAGCTGCTACACCACAAGTGCCCAGTAATGTTCAACAATCATCTCAGCCTTCTACACCAGTTGCTACTACACCACCACAAACGCCATTGTCTACTACGCCAACTCTTATTTCTGCCCAAAAATCTGTACCTATTACTATTCAACAATCACAACCTATGCAACAACAACAACAACAACAACAACAACAACAACAACAACAACAACAACAACAACAACAACAACAACCGCAACCACAACCTCCACAACAGCAACTACCACCACAACAGCAATTGCAACAGCAACAACAACAACAATCTCAACAACCTCAACAACAGCAGCAGTTGCAACAACAACAACAACAACAACAACAACAACAACAACAACAACAACAACAACAACAACAACAACAACAACAACAACAACAACAACAACAACAACAACAACAACAACAACAACAACAACAACAACAACAACAACAACAACAACAACAACAACAACAACAACAACAACAACAACACGACCAACAACAACAACAACAACAACAACAACAACAACAACAACAACAACAACAACAACAACAACAACAACAACAACAACAACAACAACAACAACAACAACAACAACAACAACAACAACAACAACAACAACAACAACAACAACAACAACAACAGCAACAGCAACAGCAACAGCAACAGCAACAAAAGCTAACTCATCAACAAATACAACCAACAGTGCCTCAGACGATGACCCAAAACTTGAGTCATCAAGTTCATCTACCACAGGGTACAATTACGCAACACACAGTGCCTTTAGTGGAAGTTAAAAAAGAAATTCTTGATGAAGTATTGTCTGGCAACATTACACCACAATTATCTGATACCAAAGACTTTCTTACTGCCAAAGAGGAGCTTATGGATGGTTCCATTGACGATAAGACCGGTAATTACTCTTTTAAATATTTTTATAACTCTTAAAATATTAATTAAAATTAAAATTATCGCTCAGAATAATCCTTTATTTTTCTGATGAATTTATATAGCGATACTGTTATTCTAATACGTCGTGTCTCACAAAATTTAACAAATTGATTTTTTTTGAAAAATAGAATTATAATAGTAAGGTAAAAGACCCAGTAATTGACACTTGCAGTTTTATTTTAATTAAAAAAACAAATCAACTCTAATAAATTAATAAATATAATTTTTTAATTATAAATTTTGAGAAAATTCGTTTTTTGAGAACATTTAAGTCTTTTAATTAGAATAAAATTGCAAGTGTCAAACAACTAGGCCAGTGTCAATAACTGGGTCTTTTACCTTATTATGAAAGTCATATTAAAAATTTAAAGGTCCAATAGTTTAATAACTAGATAAATAGATAAGAGTTTTATTTGTATCACATTAATGTGTTTTACAAAGCATTAACATTTAAGTTATTTTTTAAATATTATAAACATTGTATAGCTTAATAACTATTTTTAAACAATTATTTTCATCCGTCGAATCCCATTTAATCAATCTTAAAAATGAACCGTTTTAACCGTCTGCTGTAAAATTTTATAAATGTGGGATACGACTCTGATAGCCACCTTAACTCAAACTTTTATTCAATCTATTACCGAAATTTGTGGCCAACTTGATGGGAAGGTTTGCAAACCAAACGGTTTTAGTTAAGTTGTCTATAAGTTACTTTGCAATTTGACGTGAGGACTTGCAGTGCAAGTATTTTAATCAAGTAGTATAGTAGTAAAGTTGAAAGGAAATTTAACCAAAAGTTTGGTGTTAACTTGTATTCAAATTGTGGACGTAGATTTTCGTCAATTTGTATACAACTGTTATACTTTAATAAAAAATTACCGCAAACTTGATGTTAAGTGTAACTGTAACTACTGAAATTCAACTACTTTTAAAAGAAGCGTGGCTATCAGGGGACGTATTTGAATGTCAGTATCGATAGATATTTTAAAAAAATTATTATTTTTAAATATATAATTATTTAACGTTAATAATAAAACAAATTAATTTTTCAGATCTTAGAAAACTAAAAAGACGTCAGTATCAGCAAAAACGTCGCCAGAGTCAAGGAAAAGATGCATCAACACCTCCGCAAAAGAAACGATCCCGCAAAGTTTCTCGTCTAGACGAAGACTATGATACATTTATTGAAAACTTAATGATTCAATTGCGACAATTGCAAGCAATACCTGTTCTAGAGCCCTATCTTGGACGAAACTATGGCGTCTGTCCCATTTACGGTTCCGGTGACTTGTCGAAACTTTGCACTCAGAAAGACTACAACCCTCGAACTGGAGATTTACTGGGAGTTTACGGTGCCGCGAGGCTTCCTGGGGTATCAGATCACTACAACACCCAGCCGTTTGGTGAATTGGAGCCACTACCAGCTCCTCAGCCAGTCTCAACTCAGCGTGGATTTTACGATCAAGAATTTCCACCTCTTAAATTAGAGGACGCGAGTGATAAAAAAGATTGTATGTCATTGTTGACCCGTGATGTGGACACTCCAGACACTATTGTAAGTTCTTCATCTCCTGAGTGTGTGATTCCCGAATTTGTTCATAATTTTCCGGGGTTGAGATTGATTGACGACAACTCTGACGAAGAGTCTGACTGGCTAAAACGCGTCTCACCTGTTATTCCAATAATTTCGCCAATTCCCATCAGATTAAAGACTCCAGCAACAATGGCAGCAGAATTAGCAGCAGTAAAAGCAACAACAACGGCTATTAATACCTCAGTGACAACTACACCCGCAGTGACAGTAGCTGCTGCCGCTGCTGCTGTTATAAAAGACACTGCTAAGCAGGATAAAGAAAATCTCGGAATCACACGAATCGGTAAATCACCACCAGTGGCCTTACGAGAAAACAGCAATGTTACAGTAACGCTGACACTCAATAGTCAAGCAGCTGATGATATTATGAGAGTTTTGAAAGATCTTGCAAATATATTAAATATATCACCGCCCAATGGGTACCAAGTCGTTGAACGCACCACCACACCGCCAAGTCAAAAATTGGGGCTCTATAGAACTAAGGGCAAGGATGGTAAAGAAGGAGCTCCTGTTGACATTCAGAGTATACTCAATGGTGCGGCTAAATTTTGCCGTCATTGTGATGTTGTTATTTTAAATAGTCTTATTCGTAAAAAAGTATCTGAATTACCATTTTTAAGTAAAGATGAAGCTGAACCTGGTGATGAACTCTGCTTCTGTTCTGTTAGTTGTTATATGCAATTTGCTTTGATACATCGTACACCTATCACTACTCAAGGAAAAGTAAGTTTATATTTTTTTTTTTTTTATAACACTAAAATCATTAGACATCTGACAATTTTTTTTTTTAAATCGATTATAAAAAAAAATATATTTTTTTTAAATGTTGCAAATAGACCAAAAAAATTAAGAAAACACTTGATTTGCAAGAAAATAACTTAAACAGAAAATATACATTACAAATAACAATATAAGAATCATTGAACATTCCTATAGGAATTTAGATTTTATTACTATAAGCTTGGACAGTTCGGAGAAAAACGTCTTTATATTTTACTAACTTCGACTTCGAGAGTTTTACTTTTGAAATTCGAGTTATAGAATATAAATATCTCTTATCATGCTGTTCATTAAAATAATAATATTATTATTATTTTAATGAAATAATATTAATTTTTTATAACTAAAAATTTTTTCCGAGATTCATAATAGAGTCTTTTACCTAAAATGGAGAATTTTTTTTTATTAAAATTTTTTTATAATAATCGAAAAAATTGAAAGATGTCTATTAATTTCAGTATAATTTTTTTCATAATAATAATAATAATAATAATAATAATAAAAAATTATTTTATTTTATTAAAAATAAAAATTAAATTTCAGGCTGCGACAATTGTTGATCACCTGGGTCAAAAAACCGACTCCAAGTTACTTGATAGTACTTTAAAGAAAAAACTTGAAGAGAAAAAATTAATAGAAAAACAAATGCTAAATTTGGCAGAAATTAACATGGAGCCGATGGACATTTGCAATGCCATTAAAATAAAAACCGAGAAAGAGGACCTAGACCTTCATGACCACATAAAGCAAGAACTTGTTGATAAGCGACCAAAGAAACATCCCGCAGATCTTCCAACTGATCTCGAGTTTGAACCACCCTCAAAACTGCTTCGGGGTACAAAATACAAGGTCTGGAGTATGGGTGTTCTCCAGCCGACGAAAAAATACAAAAAGCCCTCGGATAAAGACATAACTGACCTGCTGTTCCGGATGGCTGTGACAGTGAACCCTGCGAAGAACGAGGACAGTCGACGCTGTATGTTTTGTCAAAATCAAGGAGACGGCGCTGCTGATGGTCCTGCGCGGCTCTTGAATTTTGACGTAGACAAGTGGGTCCACTTGAACTGCGCGCTCTGGTCTGAGGATGTTTATGAGACAGTAAACGGAGCTCTGATGAATTTGGACACTGCTTTACAACACAGTCTCGCAATGAATTGCATCGTATGCGAGAAACCCGGAGCTACTGTAAAGTGTTTCAAGATGCGGTGCACCAATGTCTACCATTTGGGTTGCGCTGAAAAGGCTGGTTGCGTGTTTTACAAAAATAAAAGCACTTTTTGTTCTCAGCACGTTCAGAAAAATGAAAAAGACAACGAATTAACAACTTTGTCCGTCTACCGACGGGTTTACGTTAATCGGGATGAAAATCGACAAGTTGCCGCAGTAATGCATCACACCGAGCGCAATCACCTTTTACGAGTCGGTAGTTTAATTTTTTTGAACGTCGGACAACTTTTACCTCATCAACTTCCAAATTTTCACACTCCGCATTATATTTATCCCGTGGGCTATAAAATTGTCAGGTTTTATTGGAGTATGCGTCAACCTAACAAGCGGTGTCGGTACGTCTGTTCTATTCACGACAAAGACGGACTCCCGGAATTTCGGATTCTTGTCCAGGAGTCCTCTCACGAAGACAGCGAGTATGTCGGTAAAACTCCAAGAGCAGCTTGGGAACACATTTTGGAACCACTTTCTAAATTAAGAGAATCCACCAACAGCATTAAATTGTTTCCACTGTATGTCTCCGGAGAAGATCTTTTTGGCTTGACAGAGCCGGCTATCGTCAGAGTCTTGGAGAATTTACCCGGAGTTGACACCCTGACTGATTATAATTTCAAGTACGGAAGGAACCCTTTGCTGGAGCTGCCTCTGGCGGTGAATCCCAGTGGAAGTGCTAGAACTGAGGCGAGATTGAGGAACCAACTGCCTTGGAAGAGACCACACACTCAGAGAACTGGCTCCTCCGCAAGGGCAACCTTCTCACCTACAAACACTGTCGCCGGCGAGACAACTTGTCCTTATTCGAAACAGTTTGTTCACTCTAAGAGCTCACAGTACAAAAAAATGAAACAAGACTGGAGAAATAATGTTTATTTAGCGAGAAGTAAGATCCAGGGGCTCGGGCTTTATGCTGCTAGAGATTTGGAGAAACATCAGATGGTTATTGAATATATCGGAGAGATTATTAGGACTGAGTTGGCTGAAACAAGAGAAAAACAATATGAAGATAGGGTAAGTTTCAAATTTTATTTTTATTTATTTGAGTAATTTATACTAACAACCTTGCAGTCTCTATATGACTGCCGTGACTTGTGAACTGTAAATAAATGAAATTTTGCTTTATTAAATGATGACTTTTGTTAAATTGCACTGTACTTTCTTAAATATTTACGTTGGTAAAGATATAAGCTCATTCCGATGTTACACTCATCAAGAGCTTTCATTTGAGTACCCACACGCATTTTGATATATTTTTTATATATTCATATATATATAAATATATATAAATATATGAAAAATTGATGTAGGTACTCAAATGAAAGGTCTTGATGAGGATAATGTGGGGGTGGGCTTATATCATATATACATTATACATATATATATATAATATATATAAATATATGAAAAATTGATGTGGGTACTCAAATGAAAGGTCTCGATAAGTTTAATGTCAGGGTGAGCTTATATCTTTAAAAATGTCAATAGTTCATAAGATACCAGGTCATTTTTTAATTATGTACTTTAAATTTCACTAAAAAAAACCAATTTTATCATATGACTATCCTGGATACAAAATTTTTTTTATTCTCTTAATAATATAGATGATAGTAAAATATTTATTTAATTTTATTTTTTTATTAATGTAGAATCGAGGAATTTACATGTTTCGTTTGGATGAAGAACGAGTTGTTGATGCAACCCTGTGTGGTGGATTGGCACGTTATATTAATCACTCGTGTAATCCCAATTGTATTGCTGAAATCGTTGAAGTTGAACGTGATCTTAGAATAATTATTTTTGCTAAAAGAAGAATTTCACGTGGTGAAGAGGTAATTTTTTATTCATTATTATTGTTATTATATATGAATTATTTTTTTTAATTGTTAAAATAATTTTTTTTTTTTTTTTTTTCAAATTTCAGCTGGCATATGATTATAAATTTGATATTGAAGACGACCAACATAAAATAGCTTGCGCATGTGGAGCACCAAACTGCCGTAAGTGGATGAACTAAATGAATATTAAATCATGTCGATCCACGTTGTTATTGTTGCTACGTTATTGGGTAAATTTTTTCAATTAAAAGATTAATAAATAAATAAAGAAAAAATTTTTAAAAATAAAGATATTGAAGAAGAAAAATATAAATTCTATAAATATAAATAAATATATATATATATATATATATACATATAAATATATATAAATAAAGTAATAGACACATTATTTAATTTGTAAAGTGCCATTGCGGTTTTTGATTAATCAATTTATATAAAAAAAAAATTAAAATAAAAAAAAAAAAAGTTGGTGCTACGCCATCACAACATTCCTCCAAAGTTGTATAAATGATGTTAGTTTTTACTTATAAAGAAAGAAAAGAAAACTAAAAAGAAAATAATAAAGGGGTAATTAAATAATATGTGAACATTTTAAATATAATGGTAAATAATAATTTGATAATTTGTAATTGTAATTGTAATTGAATAATAACTTGTACATTATAATTGTGAAAAATTTTGTGTGACGCAAATAATTATTAATAATGACTAGATAATAAAGTTATTAAAAATTTTTTTAGATAAAAGTAATAATAATAAATATAAGTATATAGTTAAATACTATTGAGATTGCGAGTAAGAGAATAGAAATAATTATGAATTGAATAAAAGTAATGTTATGTAAATCGTGAATGCGAAATAAAGTAATTATTTGTATCTTTGTATGTGAAATAATAATAATAATAATAATCAGTGATGATTTAAAATGGATAAATAATATTAACAACAATAATCATTATTGAAATAGTGATTATTAATAGATTAAATATTAATAATATTAATTATTGATGGTGAATAATAATTATAATATTTAAAGATTATATGATTATCCTCGTTGTAATATATAACATTTATCAATTATTGCATATATAATTGCACTGTGTCTGTACATAAGTAGAATACATATTATTTTCAATTAAATCACCATAAAGTTATGTAAAATAACAGTACCTAATGTAATATGTAGAATTATATACAATTATAATTATAATAATATTTGATTATACAATAATAAATCGATTGAAAATTTTATAAATTGAGAAATTATTTATTCCTTTGGTAATTATTTACAAGTGGGGTCCACCCTATTTTTGGCCATATCTAGATCAACAATTGATATTTAAAAAAATTTTTTTTTACGGTGCATTTATGATAAAAAATATTGTAAAAGAAAAAAAATAAAGATTTTGATAGCTTATTTGCCTTCAAAAGTTAGAAAAAAAAAACGAACAATTAAAAAAAAAAAAAGTTGAATATGACAACTTTCTAAAAAATTTATTAAAATTGCGATAATCAACTTTTTTTTCTTAACTTACTCATTTTTTTATGTATTTTTGAAAAAAAAAATATATCAAAATTTTCAAAAAAAAATTTGGTTCAAAAAAATGAAAATTAAAATAGTGGTCTCCACTTGTAAATAATTACTATTCCTTTTATATTAATATATAAAAATAAATACTAAAAAGAAATTATTGACTCTCCAAAGATTAGACAGCGCAAGTCTCTAAAATAAATTGATTAAACTTCTTTAGATATTTTTTAACATCAAATTAAAAGTTATGCAAAAAATAATATTAATATATTTTTAATTGGAGCCAGGATTTGGTTGTAATACGATGTTCTAACGAGTTTGCGAATTAGTTTATTTTTGTTTGTAAACTTTTTGGCTAGTTTGCTCGATAATAAAGTTTATATATTTGTTCTAGGAAAGTATAATGTTATTTGGGGCAATCAGAGTAACCTAGTTTGCTAATAATTTAAGTTCAAACCAACGGATATTTTTTTACACTGCATTTGGATAAGAAAATATAAATATATCTTTCTGTAAATAATCAATACACAATAAAAATATTAAATACATTAATTAGTAAAATTTATAAAAAAAAAAAAGCTTTAAATTTATCCAGCTATTGGAGTTAGAGTAGAACTAGTTGTAGTAGTAGCAGCAGTAATTGTTGTATGACGAGCGGAAGACATGAGTAACGACGGTCGTTGTTGATCGAGATGATTGTTCAACCATTCTTCAATAACAGGAAGATTTTTTTTACTCCACTTCAATTCTTCCTCTAAATCTCCCATTACTTTTTTAATAATGACTTCTGAAGGATCAGCCTCCCTTTGACGGTCTTTGTACAATTGCGATACCATATCATAGCCTTCCTGAGTGCTGAATGATGAAGTAGCTGAGTTAATAATACCGTTCCACAAATGCTCTTTGCTTTCAAATCTTTGCTTCATCAGATCCCAGTGGTCTACGAGAAAATCAAATAATGCAAAATATCCGGTTGCGCTTCCTGTCAAGGTACTGTAGATTAATTGAATATCGGAATCCGTGAAGTTTGAATTTTCATTAAGAATTGTAACATTCAATAGCCTGTAATTTAAAAATAAAATTTTAAAAAAGTGATACTGAAATTGAGAAATCTGATAAATTTTTTTTAAATAATAAACTAGCACTATGTGACGGCAGTCACTATGTGACTGTCGTAACTTGTAGAATATAAAAAAATAAAATTTTGCTTTATTAAATAGTCGCTTTTGTTAAATTGCACTGTACTTTTTTAAATGTTGACTTTTTTAAAGATATAAGCTCATGCCGATGTTACACTCATTAAGAGCTTTCATTTGAGTACCCACATGCATTCTGACATATTTTTCATACATACATATATATAATATGTATAAATATATGAAAAATTAATGTGGGTACTCAAAAGAAAGGTCTCGATGAGTGTAATGTCGAAGTGAGCTTATATCTTAAAAAATGTCAGTAGTTGACAAGATACGAGGTCATTTCTTAATTATTTATATTTTTAAAGATGTAAGCTCATCCTGATGTTACACTTCTCAAGAGCTTTCATTTGAATACCCACATGCATTTTTGATATATTTTTCATATATACATATATATAGTATATATATAAATATATGAAAAATTGATGTGGGTACTCAAATGAAAGGTCTCGATGAGTGTAATGTCGGGATGAGCTTATATCTTTAAAAATGTCAATGGTTCACAAGATACAAGGTCATTTCTTAATTATGTACCTAGAAATAGAGCATTTTTAAATGCAGTCTAAATACTTATCATAATAAATTGATTATCGGTCAGAATGATATGAAACCTTGAAAAGGCACAAATTCAAGTCAAGATCTTTGCGATGACTCTAAATTTCACTAAAAAAACCGATTTTATCATATGACTATCATGGAGACAAAATTTTTCTTATTCTCTTAATAATATAGATTATAGCAAGAAAAATTTATTTAAAAAATTTCATTTTCAAAAGCTCTAAAAAATTATAAATACACTTTTTCCGTTTTAGTTTATTTAAAAAAAAAAATTATCAAGTGTCTGTTAATTTCAATGTAAAAAAAAAATTTTATAATTAAAAGTTTATAGATAATACCTTTCAATTTTACTTTTATCAACAGGACATCCCGCTAATGTTTTCAATAAATATGTCCGCTCGCTCTGTTTTCGCTCCATTGTTTTCTGGGGAAAATTAATTACTCTTTGAAGACCAAACTCCCATTCTTCCATCGTGCCCCATCGGAAAACTGGACAAATAAATTCATTCGCGACTCTGGAAATAAAAATCAATTTATATTAATATATGTGAGTGAAAAAAAAACATTTTTTTTTAAAGAAAAACTAACGGATTTCCTTCATCGGGTTCATCATCCTTCATCCACTTTTTATACTGTTCTTTGGCTTCTTCGATGCAAGGACGATAACCGGCGCGACATAAGAAATTCTTGACAAGCCCTCTCATGTGAGTTTTCCACGAAGGCTCATTCGGACTTGCCGTCTCGCCAAGCTGATTCTTGTACAACGGCTCAAGGAGACTGAAGATGTACGCCTGACGTAATTTATAAATTATAGTATCAACGATAATTAAATTGATTAATTAAATTAACATTTATTAACATAATTAAATAATTTACTTCAAAATTAGATGCTACAGTCTCTGATTCTTGGATTTTTCTGCCAACGTGATCAATCATGGTGAAAAACGGCTGCCAGACAACGTGACTTGTTTCGTTTTTCAAAAATAGTGTCATATTGAGCGCTACTTGGAAGCAAAAATTACCCGAGTACGCCATATTCCAGGCGTCATGTAATAGTTTAGCGCGAGTTAACACCGGTATTGTTTCTCGGTTGGGTCCTTGAAGAAATTCACTTAACATTTGCCAATTGCAGAGATCGTAATTTACCGGAAACATTCCTGTTGATTTTTATAAAAAAATTTTTTACCAGATATTTTACAATTTTTTATTTTTATAACAAAATAATTATTAAAAAAAAAAAAAATATTTTTTTTAATTCCTATACGTAGAATTTTTTTTCATAATAATTTAATTGTTGTAAGTCTTAAAAATTATTATGATATTAAAATTAGCTAACATTTAACAATTTTTCATTTTTTTTTATTGATTAAATTAGAACTAAAAAAAAATTGCACGGATAATTTTTAAAATTTTCTACATGTGAAATTTTTTGGTAATTATTTACAATTGAGTCTACCATTTTAATTTTAATTTTTTTTTTTTTTT